CCGTTTTACAGCAGCAGCAGCAGCAGTGAAAAAATATGCACCGCCTGTTTTACATTTAAAATAGACTTTGCCATCTAAACGTCACTGCAAATATATTTTTCTCCTCAAGTTTCTCAGAATATAACTAGTTCAAATTTGACGAAAAAATTACCAATACTTTGCTGGAAAATGTTTTTCTTGAGGCTGATGAATAGTCATTCTCTACTCAACAATCAATAACGCATAACTCCTCCTAGACCAGGTTTTACGACGTACTGCACCGCTCCATTGCTCCTAGTTATCTAGGGGGCGATATAAGCAGGTCACGGCTCCATAGCATTTGAGTACACGCAATGCCAGACGCATATCGCATCATTTTGTTGGCTAGAGCCACCTCGCGTTCACTGCGAACGATGCAAGATGCATATGACACCGCATGTGCTAAAATAGCATGCAGCGGTGGTCTGCTTAAATGACGCCCCTAGGAAGCTAAGAGCAACAGGCCGGTGCAATACGTGGTGAAATCTGGTCTCTGAAGAGTCCTCTGACACACTCCGGCATATGCACACACTTGATGCGGTCAATAATAAATAATTGTTGAGCTCGCATCACGTTCATCAAGATCTGCCTCGTTGTGGGCGCCAAAAGAAAACGAAGCTCTTCCAATCTTCTGTCTTCTTGCGTGTTGCTTTGCGACAGTTCATTCGGGATGCTGACCTTTGTAGATTATTGTGCAACTGACGGGCACGGTCTCAGCCTACCAAACGAGTCCATGCACAACTTCCGGGGCGTCGCTTAAGGTCTCACAGTGTCCTAACATGAGGGTCTCACACTTAGCATTATTCACCGCTATTTTTAATCGTTACATGTTATATTTACAAACAGAGACTAACACGTACAGAAAATTTATACTGGTTTATCACTGGATAAATCACCACTTCACTGCGTTGTGTAAAAATAGGCCGTTTTTTGCTGTTCTGTATGGTTACCAATCAACGAAGAGACAAAATATTCCACTTGTGCTTTCAAAGTATCGAAATGTCCATTTTTGCACTTTCAGTGAAATGTGCAACTTTGGTGTCAACTTGTCTCA